ATATAATCATATGCTGTTGTGTTGAAGAGGGCTCTGCAAGTTCTGATCGACTACTTGAAGTAAATGGCTCCTAAGAGTTAAGGATTAAAAATGAGATAAACCCGAGCTATAAAATTAGAAGTAATGGAGCGTTTTAGAATCTGTGGCCCATTTTTCRTTTCTGTTAATAACATTAGCAAAGCTAAAGAACGAGCTTTCAGACATTCCTGGTTGAGTTAAGGTGAACTCTGTGATTTGGACTCCAGATTGTTGACAGTGTATTGTGAATCTGCCTCTGATTTATCTATTTTGATACACTTCATTCACTGCATGTCTGCAGGCCAAATGATACTACAGCGCTTCCATCCAGGTGCTATAAYGGAAGCTGTGCTAACTTTAGAGTTAGTGGAAAATGATTTTCTGTATTTATCCTTAGCTATGTGCCATCATCAGGAGTCTGCGTGGTCCCTTGGAGAGGATGTTCAGTGAAACTAATGTGGGCAGGTTGTTGTCCTCTGGGTCTTGATGGGTCTAAATCTTCAATTTATCAGTGGGTTTAGAATTATGAGAAGAGAAGCAGTACAAGTGGGCAGACTCRAGCGCATTTCTCAAGTGGGGAGTCAGGGGAAAAAACTGTAAAAGAAAACTGAGAAGAATACCAGTTACACTGTATATTGTTAAACAGCTGACGCATAAATCTGCTTGTGTGATGTGGATATGCTCCGAGTATCTTCCCTCTGATTTGTGTGCATTGTTTTCACACTGAGTAAATTCAGTTTTATCTTTAAAAAAGACATCTTGAATTGACAGTCACCTCAAAGTTGGTATCCATTAGCTGACAGAAAATGATAGAGGGACTGATAAAAGCAAAAAAGGAGGCGAGGAGATAAAAGGAAAGTAGACAAAATTGTGTTAAAGGAAAAATAAAGCACTTTTTTATTGTGATCTTTTCAGCAGCTCAATGAGGCGATGTGTGTGCTTTAGTTTGATTTGTCTGCTAGGCCCCATGTCCATTTATTGAGATTGAGAGTGTTCCCTAAGCGCAGTAATGAACCATTTTATGATTCATTATCCCACTGCTGATGTCTGCTGCCAAGTCTGCAAACTTTCTAATTAGCTTAGGTCAAACATTCATACAGTTTTTGTCTAATTATCATTGCGTAGTATGAAATGGACATCACAACACAGCCACAGAGAAATAAATTGAGGTGGGTGGTGTTGTCTGAAGAGCTGCGAGTTTTATTCTCTCAATGAAGGTTTTTAGACTTGAGAGTAATCATAGAGGAAGAGCTGTGAGGGTTTAAACTCCGAAATAATCATTAAAAAGTGACAAAACAATAAAGGGGTACTCAGACGTGTCTCTGGCGACAGTTGTAGAATCTCTCTGGTACTGAATATGTTACCATAGATAGGCTATTTATCCAAACTAGACCAATACACAGCTGTGTGTACATWATAACAAATGAAAAAATATCCAGGCAAAGAAGTGTTTTTTTTTTAAATGCTATAATTAAGAGTGTATTCTGCGAATAGTACAGGAATATTTTGGTGTTTGTAGGAGAATATTCAGCCTCTGTTCCCAGCAGGGTTTAAAGGAAAACCRCTATTGAATGTGGGACGTTTAAATCCGCCGCAGGGGGGCAACTTTTCCAGCAGCCCAGCGTTGTGCTGTCAGTTTGCTTTTGTTGTCAGGCTCAGTCAGGAGCTTGGTTATCAGCAATAAATGATTAAAACTGGCTAACTAAGTGCAGATAAAAGAGTCAAGCTTATTTTTGTGTGTGAGTCTGTTTGTTGGCCGATTAACCCACACACACACTCCTCTGCACACACACACACACACACACACACACACACACACACACACAC